GGGGGGGGGAGGGGTTTGTGCAGGGAGAAGGGTGCAAAAATGAATGAATGGAATTCCAAAATCTCTGTAGATGTTCATTGAAATGAAAAATAAACAAGCTAAATTAAAAAAAAAAAGATACCTAGTAACAGCAGCAGTGTATTATCCATTTGTCAATTGTATTTTGTGCAACTGACTGCTTCTGAAAACCCACTGGAGGGTCAGGTCAGTTCCAACTTGATGATACACAACATTTCCCACTTCTTCTCAACAGAAACGCTGTGTTTGTTTTCCTTTTAGTAATCCTTCCCAATAAGCTCACCCCAACCTATATTCTTTGGGTCAAACTAAACCACACTGGAAATATTCTGTGTCTTGCAATTCTTTTGGATTCCATTTAGATAGCACCTTTTCCTTGAATTGTCTTCAATAAAACTAATTTTCTCCAATCTACCATGTTTATTCTGAAATATAGTACTAGATTACACATTATCCTCGGTTAATAATTAAATAAAAATATTTTTAAACTTTGTAGACTACTGTGGAAGAGGGTGATCACATTAAAATGAGAAAAGTTTTAGCAAGTATAATAAATGTATTTCTTCTTAATAAAAATATAGAGAGCTTTGGTGGGCTAGTGGCAAGAAGCTGCGCTGCAATCCCAAAGGCACACAGTTTGAGACCACCAGCTGCTCCATGGGAGAAGGATGGGTAATCTCCTCCCATGCAATTAACTGTCTCTCAAAACCTGCCAGAGGGTCAGCTATGGGTCAGTTCTGACTTTAAGGTAAACAACAACAACAATAAAAATATATACCACTGTTAAGTTACTACAAATGCATAAGGAAACATTTGGAACTGTAGTAAAATTGAACTTATTTTTTCATTTCATAAAAAATTAGCAGAATTTTTCCCTCCCTGATGGCAAAACATCTTTTAAATAGCTAAAATACAACCTGAAATACACAGGTTTCAAAATTCTAAGAGATTATATAATCCAAACATTATATCACAGTACTAGTCCTAAATAATACATTAGTGTAAGTACTACTTTGTTAGTTCTCTCAAAAATCCAGTAAATTTATTATGACACCATCTCTGGAAGGTGACCTAATCTGCAGGAAGTTGCACTCTCATCTGAACTGCATCCTCCCTGGCAGTTCAAATCCACCAGCAACTCATGGGGATAAAGATGGGCAACTGCTTTCAGTCTGAGAAAACCCACTGAGAGTCAGATACGAGTCAGTTTCAACTTGACAGCAATGAGCAAATGAGTATCAAAGAATTCGAAATACACAGAATCCTTAAGCATTCATATGGCATCTACTATTGGCCCAGTATGTCAGATAGAAAATCTATCAGTAACTGATTTAATGGAATGCAGTCAAGCAACTACTTTTAACACCCTGAGCATGAAATTTCTGAATTGATTATCATAAATTTCATTTTTAAATGCACATCCATTGGTCCCTCTGACTAAATGAGGGGGGGAAGGAAGGGAGGGAGATAGAAAGATAGACAGACAAAGAAGATAACACGAGCTAATATATAATTGGGAAGTTCTGGTGGCCTAGTAAGTAAGAAGTTGTGATGACAACCCAAAGGTATGCAGTTCAAATCCACCAAATGTTTTCTGGGAGAAAAATCCTCCCTTGTGATTTATAGCCTCTGAAAACCTGCAACAAGATCAGCTGTGAGTCAGTTGCAACTTGACAATACACAGCAACAATAATATATAATTAGATAGTAAATTTACAGACTAAATTGTGCATAGTTTTAGAGAAAGAAAGGATAATCTACTAATCAGGGAAGGGGAGGAGAGAAATAAGCAGAAGCTGCAAAGTCAAAGCCAGGCACAAGGAGCCAAACATCCTCATAAATGCGGGAATTACTCAGATACTAAATAACCTAGGACTATTCTTAGTTGGACTCAAGAATTGTGCTAAACAAGGACTCTGGCCTAACAGGATTACTGTAAGAGTAGTCAAATTCCCTAGAGGTTATTTTTAGTGCTGAGTACTAAACAACCACCTGTTTCAATCACCAACATATTTCATAGACTATCATATTAAAGTGTACCAATATAATCCCCATACCATGTCCTATAAGATGTGGTATAAAGTTTTAATTAAAATGTTTCTACTTGCCTGATTTTCTCTTGTATCTTGTGATAATGAAGTAGGAAACAATGTAAAGAACAGCAAAAAGAAGAAAGCATATCTGAAACAGAACAAAATTAACATAATCTATTAGCTTCGCATACCAATTTTTCAAAGTAATAGAATGGTTTAAATAAAGTAAGAAAGCTTTCTTTAGTATTTTTAGAAAAACTAAGTTTAAATCACTAACAAATAAGTTTTATATATTTACTAAGACATTTTGATAAAATCTTAACCTATGTCTTCTTCCTATGAATTGATAGATTACTTACTTATTAACTAATCTTATAGAAGCTAATGATAATTCTTATTATAATGTTCTCATGTTCAATTGTATAACTTCTCAGTATTTATGCCCTGTTTTTCCTCTGTCTCAGTTTTCATTCCCTTGCAAACAGATGGATTTTTAAAATTATTTGTACCCTAAACCGAGTCCATGCATTGGATAATAATGTGCTGTTTGATTTGTCAAAGACAAAATACGTGACAAATATTTTCCATTTAATTTCAATAGTGAAACATAATTACAATCAATTTGTGACCTTTTTCTTTTTCTTTTTTTTTTAGACAACACAGAAAAGAATTAAGTGTCTTATTAGCATGTTATCATCTCCTAAGATTAGAGAGAGAGATCAGTTGGCCTAGTGGACAGAAAGTGATGCTACCAAGCCAAAGGTGGGTGACTTTTAATCCTTGGCCCTCAGGCCCGTTTTTCATTGTTTTTGTTCAAACGTTGTTCTAGGTCATATAGCCCTAGTGTGTCCACTTGCTGTACAGAGGTAACTTGTGGTTGCTGTGAAGCTGAACACTGTGACACTGATGTGTCAAATATGTTAATGGTTACCCATGGCGGACAGTGTTTGGTGGAATTACCCAAGAAAAACAAGCATGGAAGTAGGAGTGGCATCTACTTCCATAACAGCTTGCCTCCGGAAACCCTATGAACCTGGAGAAAGAATGAAAGTCACACAAGTGTTGAGGACTTTCATTCACAGGGTTGCTATGAGTCGCCTACACTTGATGGCACTTAACAACAGCATGTGAATGAAGGGCTCATGGATAGTAAACCAGTAATTTAAACAAAACGTAATACTTAATATAACAGGTAGCTCAAGCAGGCTAGTCCATAAGCATGTGCACTTCTAACCCAAAATCCATGCCTCTCTGGCTGTTAGAATCTACCAGTTCATTGGAATGGGTAATCTCCTCTCATGTAATTAAGAACCTTGAAAACCCAACCCAGTGGAGAGGACAGTTAGGAGTGGGTTCTAACTTGGCAGCAAAGACAGAGAGAATACAATTTGGGAAGTGGGGGGATCCCCAATAAAGATTTTGCAAACCTTGCTAATTTTTTTAAAAGCACATAATTCTGAAAAGTAAGGTCAGTGAAAGGTAAAAATAAACTTTAAACCTTCAACAACATTTAAAGAGTTGTGCTGCCACTGAAAATTGATAGAATAATGCAAGTAGATTCTATCATACAAAAATGTAATTGGGGGAGTAAGGAGAGAAATGTGCAACAATGTATGGAAATCCAAGCTCTCAGTAAACTTTTGTTAAAATCTCAATAATTTTTTTTAAAAAATAAAAATATATTATTGCAGAAAAAAATTAATGTTGCAAGTAGCAGTACAAGTCAAGGTAGTGAGGTAAAGAGAATTGTCTAATAAATATATTTCATAGTAAATTATACAACAATTCAACAAGTTCCTTTTACCTTTTTTTCAGGTAAAAAGATATTTATTGATACTAAATGATGTAACAGCTGTTTTCCATATCTCTTAATAACTTTAAACATTATTTCTATAACAGTTTCTCAAGTAATAGGGTCTAAAGAACAAAAATGCTTAGATTAACATATAAAATCACCTTAGGGAATTACTGCAAGATGCCACTTTGCCAACATGGCCCAGCATCTGTCTTAGTTCCTTTCCCCTTCATCTTTGCTTTAAAACAAACAAATGAACAAACAAATGGAAAACACCTAGCATGAGGCAGGTGATTGTCTCCATGAGCTATCTGACATAGACTGTGTGTGGCAGAGATGAAGAGAATAGAATGATACATTTTTAAACGCCAAACCCTAATCACAGAATGCTTCCCACTGTTATGACCCTGTAGAATGCAAACTGGGAACAGGATAAAATTTTGAAATTTGGCTCTGCTTTGAAGGGTTAAGGCATTCCGACTCCCCGGTCATTTTAAAGAAGACTTCTTGTTCCTGCAGTTTCCTGGCAACCTCTTCTTCCAATGTCTTTTTCCTAGGTCTCTCCTTTTACTTTTCAATAAAAATTAAATCTCACTCAACTTTATCAGTTAACTTACTGAGAGATGATAGACTGGGGGAAAGTAACACAAAAGAAACAAAAATTATGGTCACAGAACAGAAAACCTCAATTCAATATAAGACTAAATGTGTTAGTAACAACGGTTTACTAGATCTGGTGGTCTGTGGTGTTCTTTTAAAGAAAAAAATGACTCAAAATGTACTCATTCCTGTGATGCTATGGTCTGAAAAACATCCTTACTATAGTCTTTCTGAAGAAGAGCTGAAGGTCCTGTTGCAGACTGAGGGTAAATAATTTTATAATTATTAATAATGAGACAGACATCCAGGAATGAAATAGATCAGACAGCATAAAACATGGGGCCAGCAGTTCTCAACTGAAGACCCCAAGCCAAGCTTCTCTGTATCTTTATTGAAAATTATCAGGAAGTAAATCACAAAGAGAATTCAATACAAATGAAGTCAAGCTCTTTCTATTGAAAACCTTCTGCTTGACTCAGGAGGAAGGGGTTAGCAAATGCAAGAATCTGGTAAATCCTTAAGGATTGTCTTAGTGCCTCAGGGTGAACTCTAGCTTGAACCGTTACTCCCCCACATCCTGAAATAGCATTCAGCTTATTACAAATATTTAGTATTGTTACAGGTATAGGTCCTATGTCCTAAGAATGGATTACAGACTCCAGCAGTAGTCATCTGCTGTCACTGTTCTGTACTGTCAGAATGGTCCCATAGCTGACCATCCACTAGGTTTGAAGAGGCAGTAAATCACAAGAGAGAAGATTGCCTCTCTTTCTCTCTCAAGAGCAACTGGTGGATCCGAACTTACTACCTTTGCATTGCTAATGCTATTCCTTACTACTGCCATAGTCTTCTCAATCACCTGATATGCATCTGAGAGCATATCAAGGATGACAGAAGAAGAATTGATACCTTTGAGCTGTGGTGTTACATAAGAGTGTTGAATAAGCCATGGACTGCTAAAAGAACAGTTTTATCTTACAAAAAGGGTAGCCAGAGTGTTCCTTGGAGGCAAAGATAGCAAAGTGTTGTCTTTCACACTTTGGACAGTAGCTAGGTGAGGCTATTCCTTGGGAAAGGACAACAGGCTTGGAATGATAGAGGGTCAGCAAAGGGAAGGAAGACCCTAAACAAGATGGACTGACACAGTCACTTCAGCAATGGGCTCTAGTGTGTCAGAAATTATGAGGATGGCATAGAAAATGGCACAGGGTTCAGGTCAGCTGTTCAGAGGGTATCTATGAGTCAGAGGGTATCTATGAGTCAGAGGGTATCTATGGGTACCTGACTGGATAACACATAACAACAAGACACCAGAGCTCCCTGTTAAAGTCATCCACAACTTGACAAACTTTGAACAAAGATGAAGACTGTAGGCTGAGTGTCAGGTTTTCTCAATAAGCATGAATCAGTGGAAATAGACAATAATGACAGTGACCAGAAACAACAAAAAGCCTAGAGCATCCAAGACAACTTATTACGGGAAGCTAAAGGATTTTATCAGGAACACTGGAGAGAGAGGATGTTACCACCACTGCTATTTCAAAAAATCCTCTCAAGTGTGAGAGAGAGAGCAAAAGGAAAATAAAATTTTATTAAGAAATATAAATAGAGAATCTAAGGATCAATGAAGATAAGAGAAAAACAGTTTACATTAGAATGAAAGTCTGAGTAGAAGAAGCTACTAGAAAAGTAATAAAAAGAACAATGGGAAGAAACACAGTATACTATAAGGTTAATGATCAAAGGAATTAATATTAGCAGCAAAGACAGAGGTTGACTGGAATACGTTCACTCAATAATTTAATGTAGGCTTATTTTATACTAAAGGGTTGTGCATATATATACATATGTTGTTGTTGTTATGTGCCGTCGAATCGCTTGTGACTCATAGCGACCCTATGTACAACAGCCCTAAACTCTGTTCTGTCCTGTGCCAATCGCACTGTCTCCGACACTCCCATCCCGATTATCCCAGTCACTGTCAATCCACCTCATAGAGG